CAAATCCAAAATAGTTGTGCTAAAACTAAATGGGATTTTCCGTGACGTCAGAGAGCTCGACTCGTGCCCATGGCCGCAACCCATGATGATGTTGATATAGCTCGACGCATTGCGACTTTTCATGATGCACAGAAGAGCATCCTGGCACATACCGACCGGTTATTGGCACCTTCCGTTGGCAGTCAGTAACATTGAAGGCCGCCAAATGAGTCGGCGATTCACCTCGTCATAGTCCTTTAGCGTTCAGTGTTTCTGCATTCTTCCACTGAGCGATAGTGTGGTTATATCTGCATTTGTTGCATGTACTTTTTCCCAAGTTTTTTAATGCTGTTTAAACCCATTTCATCGACAATTTGGAACATTCTGAGGCTGAAATCTATTATTAATCTCATGGAGAAGGGGAGACGGTCAATTCAATCGTCGGCTAATGAGGTCACGCCGCTCACGCGGCGAGAATCGTCGCGCGCGGCAGTTGGTGCGGCGATTTCTGTGTGGACCTTTTCTTATCCATCCATGTCCATAAGTTGGCTAGGTGACTGATAAGACCAGAGTGCTGGACATCAGTAAGCCAGCAAGCGTCACTGTAAGATCTCCGCAGTGATTTAAGCCTCACAGTACAAAGGTTGTACCATGTAAAGGTTGTCCTTTTGAATTTAGAATTTAGACAAAAGGTACAAGAAGCCGTTGTACCTTTCGTCCTTCATTGTGAATTCTTTGCTCAGACGCGTGTATTTCAGTTCACCTCAGCTCCAAAGTATAGCTCTGCTCAGGGCACCGTATCAACGGTCGAAACTGGATTATAATAAAAAAAAGAAAAAAGTATGTAGCACTGGTCAATTCTTTTTGGTGATGCGTTACGCATTCTACTTCCATTCAGAGTCGGGTGGTCTTTGAATGCGATTGGCCTATACAATGACTTGCGGGAGACTAGCCGATGTGCAAAGCAATGTTTTCATTTCCTATAGAAATCTGGTACCAATTGATTCCGGAGGGTATGAACGATTGCCAGACCTCTACGGGTAGTCGACCGGAGCACGCGTTTGGTAGGCAGTACAACTTTTCACTATACCACTTCCTGGAATGTAATCACTTGTTCTATTTCCTTTTCGAGAAGTTTCTTGATTATCGCAGGCAAGAAATATTGACCTAGTTTTGCTTCGCTGTTTCCTGCTACATTTTCGTCTTTAAAAATGTCTTTTTGTGTTCTTTTTTCTTGCTTAACGAACTCCTTTTCATCATCTTACTTATTTATCTTTTTTTTTCAAAAAAAAAAACAAGACTAGTATACTGCCCTATGTTATGAAGAAAATTTCTTTCACATTTGCTACTTCTTAGATTTACGGTGTTACTTTTTGTTAATTACTAATTATATCTTGTTGAGACTCGTGCATGATTTTGCTCTTGTCAGACGCGAATTGTATCATATTTGTATCGTGTGAGTCTCATTATGTGAGCTGTTGACGTGAGGTTTGGTTGGCTGTTCGGTCAGTTCATAACGTCGAGTTTCCGTTTCCTTTTCAGAAAGGAAGAGAAAAGGCCGGGCAGGGAAGGTGAGATTGATCATCGTCGCTGTCTGTGTGTGTAGCACCAAGAAGAAGCTCTCTTCACGATTGCCATTCTTCAATGCTGACACTTTTGGAACCACCAGGTGGTAAGCGTGTGCAAGCGCTCGCTAATCGCTCTGCGCAACACCTACTTAGGCTAAGTGAGTTTTGACTTTTAGTTTTTTTAAAGCTTTCGTTCATGTTACATTTTCATAAATCATAAATAGAAAGACTGACATTATCTTCAAAATCTGTCATGGGCGTGCCCTCTTTTCTAGTCCAAGATTTTCATCAAATTTTCCTACACAGGACCTCTAAACAGGGATGCAACGTCAAACACATGTATGTTATCCCGCTGAAATTTTCTCGGAAGCAGGGGCAGGCTTGCATATAACGCAGGGAAGGCTTCGAAAAGGTGCTAATGGGCAAATAATTTTAAATCCTGGTAGTCCAGAAAACTTTTAATTGAATAGTGACCTCGTTGAAGATGCAGGAAGCCGTTCAATCTACTTTTGAAAAGTGGTTATTGTTCGATGAAGCCCAGTTGAATAAGCTCTCCAAAGAGATACTTGTGACCTTGCGCTCTCTCCCAGGATACCAACGTCTCCAGCTTTCGAACAGTCCTGTTTTTGCTTTACTTTCCTATGACAACATGTCTCTTAACTTTGCTTTGCAATTGTGCAACTTCGGCGCACCTTGTAACAATAATCCCGTTCTAGACTGCCCCATAGATGATTTTATTGAAATGGTTTCCCATTTGCTCTCGCTTTTCTTAAGTAATCATTCTTCGTGCTGTTTCAGATCCGGAAGAAGAAGAGTATTTTGATGCTACCGATTACGATTCTCCGAACGAAATTATCTCCAGTAGTAATGCTTTCAAACGCGTAAGTCTGGCTGGTGTCTTGTACTTGCGGCTTTTTTCCTAGCTTTTTTCAATTCTCTATATAACTTTTAAAAAACTGACGTATTTATGGATCGCACAAAAACCCATGTGGAGACGTCCGACATCTCATATTTTTGGGCTAGCCAAAATCCGTTACAAATACTCTTATCGATCGATTTATTACTCTCCATGTAGCGCTATATTGCTAAAGATGTGATGGTTGTGAAGTTTAACTTTTCGCTGCAATTAGTTTGTTCTCACGTTGCTAAACGTCATCGAGCTAAGTGGAACTAGCCGGCAAAAATCAACGTGGAATGTTCGGCGTCCGCGTGATTAAGGAGCATAAATATTGACGAACCGCATGTGATCATATCGCGACGTTTATATTCGGCCGGAATCTCGGCTCGGGACCGAAGCACGGATTTATCCGGGTTTTCAGGAGGGAACTTCCTCATTGAGAAGAATTGAAAGATTTCGTCGCGTATTTTGTGAAAGCACGTAAAAATGGTATTCATCACCATAGATGCAACACATCTCTGCTCTTCGATATTTTGCGACTTTCCTATGGTGTCCGAAGAAACCGTCACGAACTTGTTTCAAACATAGTTAATAGGGGGATTTGATCGTGGGAACAAGTGATTTGACGTGTGACGTGGCGAGTGTCGACTGAGCATGCCAGTATCCTCACTTTTCAGTTTCTGGATAAATACCTCGTGTGGAAATCAAGCTCAGACGAGTACAATGACCGTTGGAAGCGCGAGTTTTTGAAGCAGCCGTCATGGTGCGATGCTGATCTTTGCCTGCAGCAGATCAAAAGAGTGAGTATTTTTAAAAGTGTTTTCACATCGGTTTGCACCTTCTCATTTTTTTGTTTTTCCTGCTTTTCTGGTATTTTCTCTTAACGGTGAAGTTCTAACAAAAATGCACTGGGTCCAATCTATTGGATGGGTCAATGCGTCATGGTGATGTGAAGACAAATTAATGGCTAGCAGCATTTCTTTTGGTTGCTGTATTTTGGTGCTTCGAAATAAACTCAGTATCCTCTGCGCTGGCTAGTAGAAGGCAAGGGAAGGATGGTAGGTCGAAGTGGCCGTATAAAATGAGATGTATACCTCCTGATGCGTCTCCAGACGCTGATTCCAAATCTGCCTTCCAAATCTGCTAAACGGCTCTCCGAACGGAGTTATGAAGCGTATAGCTTTGCTTTTGTCCGCAACACTTCTAGAGACAAAAGCAAAGCAACCAATTTGCAAAGGAACCGATCCTACGAGCTTTTACCTGCCACCCCGGACCATCACCACTGAGCTATTACGCTTCATAACTCCGTTTGGCGAGCCGTTTAGCAGATTTGGAAGGCAGATTTGGAAATCAGCGTCTAGAGACGCATCAGGTGGTATACATCTCATTTTATACGCCCACTTCGACCTACCATCCTTCCCTTGTCAGCTCAT